GAGGTGCCCAGGGCTTTTGGGTAAAAATAGTCATTCGTAACTCTTTCCTGGAGCATTAATAGTATCAGAGAGATCACTATATTTTTTTAGACTTCACAAATCTTATGCAGTATCAGAGTTTGGTTTCGCTCCTTCATTGATAGTACAGATTCGGTTGACTACGATGTTACTCGTTCTTCGCGCAGATACAGGGTTGGCTTGCTCGACATGAAGACACGACAAGTTCGCGTTTGGTCGAGCTGATGGTGCGTTTCGAAGACATCGTTACCACATCTCAAAAGCATTCGATGTTCGCGATTTCGGTCTCTTTCCTCTCATCTACTCCATCATGGATAACCCCTCTGCATACAGACTGAAGTTGTTTTGAGCGCTTGAGTACCTTGTCCCAGCCTCTACATACTCGACAATACATCACAACGGTACATCCGAGGCACTGAGTTGTCGGACAGTGATATGGCGCTGAATCGTTTCTCAACCTGAACCATTACAGTTGTCAATGCAGGCACCGGCGTGCCGGACATGTTGCGGCGGCGAAGGATACAACCCCCCCGAGGGCTGTTGAAAACCATTACCTTTGTTATTGAAACCACAACGAAGCTAGTGCTATAGCTGGTAAATCTTACCGGCAGAGACGTTGTACACGTTCAGTGTTTTCGCCACACCCGCGTGCACGGTCAGCGACCACGATCAACTTACACTGTGTTGCTAGCTCCTCTCGTCAGACGGTAGGCCTAGAGTGCCTCTGTTGTTGTTAAAAGGAATAGTTACTTGGACTGTGATTGATCAACTCAACCGCTGCTTTAACACATTCGCACTATCTAGAACTAGAATCACGACTGCGTACAGGTTCTTGAGAGGTATCACGTCCCGATATGGCCCCAAAACACAAGCATGATACTGGTACAGCTGTTAGCCTGGCCTTGAATCACAGTATCTCAGAAACACCGGTACAGAAGGCATGGTAAATACACGTTTCAATCTTTTGCGGTCACTAATACTATCCGCCCAGAGCACTCGGGTCATCATGCCCAACCATCATACCGTCACGTCGACGGAACGATATGAAGCTTCAGTCAAATCACAGTCTGGCTTCTTTTCACGTCTTCCTCTGGAGATCCGCGACGTGATATATGGCAAGATCTGGGGAGATGCGGACACCACTAGCCAGCGATCCCAACGCATAGGGTATGATATGGCATATGATGGCGGTAACGACCCTCTCGACTTTTCTGTTGGCACCGAAGCGAACAGGACGAATTGGCTCTTAACTAACAAGCAGATGATGACTGAAGGAATTCATCAGCTGTATCGAAAGTCCACATGTCACTTGAACGATGGTGACAATGCTATTTCGTCTAGGCCCGACGCCTCCCAATTACTGAGATCACTCCAGGTACTTTCGTACGCGATATATCTCCAGCACGAACCTTTCATCTTCGATGGTGAGCAGCGGAGTTACCGGATGAACTCTGCTGTGCGCACACAGATCAACCGAACCATAGGATGGGCAGGCTCTACATCTCCGGTAAAATCATTCCAGATACACGTCAAACGTCCGTTTCAGGAGCCCGCACTTACCAGGACCAAGGCAGACTTCAAGTTCGATCTTCAACACCTCGAGTCCCTCAAAAAACACGAAAACCTAAATAGATTTGAAGTCCATATCCTTTGTGATATGGATGATGCCGTGATGCTGTCTGCACATTGGAGAGTCAACAGTACAACACATGCCAGGTGCCTAGAAGACCACTACTTCGATACTTTGAGGGCCGAGATTATACGTGTAGGCCAGTTCTTGATTGAGGGTGGTAAGAAGAGCGGGTATATGAAGGAGACTACTCGAGAGAGCGACGGGATTCGGCAGTTGAGCTGGGGTTGGATTTTCGAGAAACCGTGAAAGAATTGTCAAGTTCTCAAGTAATGAAGAGGCAGCATTTCCTGACGAGACTAACTGTAGCAAGCATACAAGTAGCGTAAATTAGAAAATGGAAAGCAGATATCGAACAGAAGCCGAGTAATTATCAATAACATGCAAATGATCCATGAAACCAAAGGCATAGAGTGATCGATGTAAGAGTGACTTCCAGTTTGCATCTTGTTCGAGAGCCGGCGGCTTTCGTCACACACGCAAAATCCATATCAACCCATGGTCATAGCTCACTGTAGGTGCCTAGTATGTCGCCTCTTTGTGACCCTTATTTGATCTTTTAAGCATCACAACTCGTCTTGTTGCCTCAGCTTCGCCCTATACCATGGTTTCGCAATCTTGGCAATTTCAATCTTCAAGCTTGCCTCATCAACTCCAAAGCTTTTGATGTACGTCTTCTCTTCTTCCAAAATATCCAGTTGTATCCACTTCAAAAAGTCTCCCAGCGCTCTTACATCTCGTTCCACACCCTTCTCTCGCAGCACATCCCAGCCTTGTTCTAATCGCTGTTGCGAGCACCACGCAACTGCTGAATCTGCGGCTGCTTTGCGCCTCTCTTTGACTGTGTCCATGGTGTCGGTTTGTTTTGGAAGGCGGAAGAATGTGGGTTTGAATTTTCCGCCTTTGCTCTTGAACCATAAAGCTGGGGTGGCATTATAATGAGGCGGAACGGGTTTCCAGACAATGCCTTCGCCCGGACCGGATATATCGAAAGTTGCTGCAAACGGACAGTGCGCAGCGACTTCTTCGGTCATGCGTTCCACTTCGGTTACTGTGCGCTCAATGTCTTCAGGGTAGAGTGTTGTGTGGAACTGTCCACATCTTGACGAGTTGTAGATATCATGGTCTGACAAATTGATATCAGGGTAATCCTGGTCTTGCTGCCATCGGCCGTTGATGTTAACTGACACTACGACGAATCGGCGGGAGAGTTGGGCGATGGCGACGTCTTTTTGTATCTTCTCGCCTATCCATTCGCCGGCTATGAGCACGGGCAAACTTTCTTCAATCGTTGCGTTAGGATTCAGTTCTCTCCATCGTGCCAAGTACAGGTTTCGCAGTTGAAGTATGGCATCGGTTTTGTTCAACATTGTCGCTGCAAAACCTTGGTTATCTTTTGCAACAGATAGACCGGGGATGTTTCGCGACTGGAAGACGATGCGATCGTCAGGATATACGAGTATATCTGCATGCGTACCATGAAGCTTGACAGTACCGATAAAGGGTACAGGCTCCAGGGCCACGCTTACATTGGGATGACTAGGGTCGCGGTTCAAGCGGTGCAGATGCTCGACGATATCTGGAATATGCGTTGTGATCTTGGGATAGAGCATTGACTGGTCAAGGCCGGCCGTTGCCATGGTGGGTAAAGATGACCTTGTCGTGTATCTCACAGCTCCGCTGGGATCACGACAGACGTAAGGATACTTTGCAGTAACCCGCCAGCGTTGCGCTTAGAGACACGGGATTGCAACTGGTAGATATTAACATGAAGCGTTCTCTGAACAGTCTGCATGCGAGAGGATAGAGTTCACAGAGGGGTCTACGGTTGATAAATTACTTCGCGGTATCGCTTTATGAGTCTTGCCACTGGAGTTGCGATGTCGCGATTCTCTTATCGATACGTGGCGTAGTTGTCAGTACTGCGCTCTCCAGCCCTGTCCATGGCAGTTCAGAGCCATCATAAAACTGCAACACGTCTAGGGCTTTCTAAATTGCCTATGGGGTGACCTCCCAGCTACGAGCCGAACCCATCAATGGGAAACTTTGCACATACTGTCGGGCTCAACTCCGGTGTAGCGTGCGCACAGGCGAAATCGTTATCAGTGAGCTTCTGATCGCCTGCATCAGCCCTGGAGGCTTGCGATAGCCTAGTGAGGCTGCTTTCACGTAGGGATACGAGGCCGGAATTGAAGACACTTGGTGTTGCAGTGCCTAGCTGCGGCTACAGAAGGGCGAGGGAGGTCTAATTTTGGTCGGAAATGCATCTAGAACGCATACAGAGTCATTTTCCATGAGCTTTGTTTAACATTTTTGCTCTTGTGTATGTCTAAAGACAACAAGTTGTTGATGGTCCTGATCATGAGGCCGGAATTGAGTGCGCATCTAACGCCGATTTGCGGCTCCCTGCGGACCTTCTTTCGGTCTTATTCTGGTTGGTTCCCAACCGAACCGTTGCTACCACTCGTAATGGTCATCAACTATGACCGCCTTCACGAAACCACATCGTGTATCATCAAATAAGTCCTGAGAAATGCTTTACTCAGATTAATTTCGGGGGCGATTTACCATGATTGTACATGTGCTGGCCACGGTTTTTGTAAGATCGTGCAATTCGGTCCGATTTACAAGAGGCTGTCACCGCCATAGTCGGCATGGTAGTTGCCAGCTTCAAGGACTGACACTTGGAACAATATTGTAATTGCTAGTAGTTTCTGATGATCATTCAGCCTCTATATAGAGATGAGATTATTGCGGTAATAGAATTCAATGTTTCGTGAATCCTTGTGTTCCACTTCGCTACCTTTCTATCGTGGGTTGGATGAACAGAGCCATTAGACAATACGGCGCATGCTCCATTCAAAGCTGGAAAACATGACATTTATATCGTCACTTCAATCTGGTGACTCTTGTGAAGCCTCGATCGATAGATATACCACCCATATTGCGCTGCATGAGCCCTCTTCCTCTACTGTACGCAAGTCTTGGCGACGATGAGCATACCACCCCAACTCATCTCGGACGCCTGGGGGAGCTTCAGGATCGAGGCCGGGCATTGGGGGATCTCATCGGGTCAAAGTCTGCTGATGGAGACAAATGATCCAGTCATTACGTACTTCTTATCTTCTTCAACGGTAGGTTTCCGGCCATGGCCGGTTTTTATTCCGGCCACGAGATATAAGCAGCTCGTCGTCGCTGTCGTGAGAAGCTTCATAGCATCTCATCTCAACACCACCATCTGGCGCTCGGATCAGACCTCCAGCATCGAAGTCCGATCATCTCCAGTCTCTTTTGACTTCATTTTCCAGTAGCTCTTTGCACGATGTCGTCTTCAACCTTTGACTTTCCTGTCATGACGGACACACGTCCCGATGACCACACCCTCCCCGCCTTCATGGTCTCAACCACGCGTGGCTTCCTTCCTCGTCAAGAGCCCATCGTTGAGCTGCCAAAGGAGTTTGCCCCTCTTGAATCCCTCTTGCAACGCATGCCTATCAAGACACTATCAGGGGAGCCGGGTCTGCTGGCCAACTTCACCTTCGGCGACACACTACTCAAGGAGCTTCCTGACCTCACGCCGGAAGTAGAGAAGTATCGCGATGACCTTGTCGTCATGAATGCCCTGTACCGTGACTACTCCTTCTTGGCCTCTGCATATCTCTTCGAGCCCTGCCACGAGAGGCATGTACGGGGAGAGGAGTACGGGCTGGGCCGACAGTCGCTGCCAAGAAGCATTGCGCTTCCCATTGTCAAAGTCGCTGAGATGTAAGTGGACATGTTTTTCCGACCTTCACGCGATGCCTATGTTTTGTTGTTAGCTCCCCTTACCTTGGCAGAGCACCTATACGCCGAGCGACCCCTACAGAGAAGCTCTCCATGCAGCAACCTTTGGGATCCATTCTGAAGTAACATTGGCTGATATCTTTATGCGTAGTGCTGGTTTCAAGCCATTCATGGAGTACGCCGGATCTTATGCTCTCTTTAACTACCGCCTAGAAGACCCATCTAAGGGCCTCGAGTACGATAATCTTCGCTTGATCCGCGCTTTCGAGCATGGTCTGGATCCCACATCATCTGAGGCAGGCTTTGTTCTTGTTCACATCGCCATGGTCAAGGAGTCCGGCGCGCTTGTTACAGGTGCATCCGAGATGCTTGAGAGCTGCCTGGCCAAGGACAGAGAGCGATTCAACGACGGTCTTCGTACTCTGGTTGGTGGCCTCAGGAAGGTCAATGGCGTGATGAACAGTGAGTAAACTACTCCAAGTGACACGTTCGTGACTGACGACATCAGCGATGTGGGGCCGTAGCAAGCCTCAAGGCTACACCAATTTCCGTACTTTCATCTTCGGTATCACTTCGCAGTCGATGTTCCCCAACGGTGTCATATATGAAGGAGTGAGCGAAGAGCCAATGTCTTTCCGCGGCGAGTCGGGAGCCAACGACAGCATGGTTCCCATGTGCGACAACTTGCTCCAGGTCCAGATGCCAGAAACGCCCCTCACGGACATCCTGAAAGACTTCCGCCAGTACCGGCCTGGTAACCACCGCGAGTTCTTGGAGGCTGTCCGTGATTGCGCTCAGCAGTCTGGTGTACGCGAGTTTGCGAAAGGCGACTCGGTATCAGCCGCACTGTATCTCCAAGCTCTTGATCAGGTGCGCGACTTCCGCTGGCGGCATTGGTGCTTCACGCGCGAATACATCCTCAAGCACACATCGCACCCAACCGCGACAGGCGGCAGCCCGATTGTGACAGTAAGTGCTCTCTTGGTTGGACTCTTCTGCTCTTACTAACGCGCAACAGTGGCTACCCAACCAGCTCACGGCAGTCCTCAGACAGATGGTAGAGACATCCGAGTACTGCAAATCGGTCAACGGTGTTAGCGATATCATGGACAACGTCAATCATCAACGCGAGACGCTGAGGAAGGAGGTGGAGAAGTACTGCGGAGAACGAGGTGTTGCTGCATCGTGAGAAGGTGCGCACTTGCAGATGATTCCACGATTATTATTTTTCTAGATTACCCAGCACGACATGTCACATTATCTTTCAAGTGTTCTCCACTGCGTGCGCCTTTTTTGAAGTGCTGCCTGATGGTGATATCTCGTGATTTCGCCCTTTTGGATGATGAGGCGCAGAAGCTGAGCGAGGCGAGGGCGCAAATACGATAGACGATGACTGTAGAAGGTCCTCAGGGGTGGCGTTGCGGTCATGGTCGGCTATGGTAGGGTCATGAGTGGAGCGGTGGTAGGTGAGTCAAAACGCGCCGTCGCGCGAGTGTCCGCGTCATGTCTACGGCTGCTTCTATCGATAAGTAGCCCCAGCTTCCCCTAGCAGCATCCGTTACAGCGCCTTCCAGCACTTGCCACCTTCGAATGCTTGCTGCCAGACAACTCATGGAATATTCACACCTCTTCCGATTACCGCGAATACCAAACGTCTTATTAATACGGCGGACTATACGGAACACGTCCTGACATCCCCAACCCCACATTCATCACGACTATCACCACGCATCCCACGTACACCCAATCGCTACCAACAGCTTCGGGACATACTTTAACCACGCGCTCTTTCTTACAAAATGGCCTCACGACATGAGCCCAAGCAAAGCCCAGCTGAGCGGCGGAAGGGAGAATCTGTAAGTAGCAGCGTGGGAAGCAGCCCGCTTCCTTGATTCAATGGGCTACCCATTGTAGCCCCACATGCCCTTCTCAAGCTGATGGACATATCAGGCACTCAGCGAGTTTGCCGACTACGTGCAGAAGCAGCAAGCGCTGCGCCGACCGCCAGGCCAAGCCCCCGCCGTCCTCGAAGACCACGACGAGCTAAGCATCTTGGACGAGCTCGGTCTCTCCGATGACAACAAGACGCATGTTCGCCTAAAGACGCTCCTCACCGACCCTGCCGAGGAAAACGTTGCAGCACTAGCTGAGCACATTAAGGAACGTCTGGCAGAGGGTCATGGGGAGGTCCTGTTCGATGTTGGTATGGAAGACAGCGGTGATTCCATGGGCTTCACCAAGAGTCAGTGGGATTTCGCATTGGAGAGGATAGGGGCCATTTGCGAACAGATAAAGGCCGACTACAAAATGCTCATGACGCGGAACGTTGGTGGCGACGTTGAAGTTGGACCGCGCGATGCGAAGGACACTGGATTCAGTGGGAAAATGATCCTGCGACAGCAGCCACAGAGTGTCGACGATGTGATTGAGACGAGGATAGCAGTGGTAGGAAATGGTGAGTTTCTTCAGGCATGAGCAAGGATAGACGCTGACTCTGCATAGTCGACGCTGGCAAAAGCACCATGCTGGGTGTCCTTGTTAAAGGCGGCCTCGACGACGGCCGTGGAAAAGCGCGCGTCAACCTCTTCCGCCACAAACACGAAATTGAGAGTGGTCGAACTAGCTCAGTCGGCATGGAGATAATGGGTTTCGACAGCAAGAGCGAAGTTGTTGTGTCCAACGTCGCGGGTCGAAAACTTACTTGGGAAGAGATTGGACGGCGGTCGGCCAAAGTCATCAGCTTCACTGACCTTGCAGGCCACGAGCGGTACTTGCGGACGACAGTCTTCGGGCTGCTGTCCAGCGAGCCCAACTACTGTCTCTTGATGATCGCTGCGAACAACGGTTTGGTCGGCATGAGCAAAGAGCATCTAGGTATTGCACTCGCGCTCAACGTGCCTGTCATGGTGGTCATCACCAAGATCGACATATGTCCGCCACAAATCCTCGAGCAGACCATTACTCAGCTCACCAAGATCCTCAAGTCTCCCGGCGCGCGAAAGATTCCCATATTCATTAAGAACAGGGAGGAGTGCATCAACACCGCCACCCAATTTGTTTCCAGTCGCATATGCCCTATCTTTCAAGTATCCAACGTCACTGGTCATAACCTGGACCTGGTACGCATGTTCCTCAATGCGCTGCCCCACCATGGCAATTACGACAGCTCTGCGCCGTTGGAGTTCCACGTGAACGACACGTTCTCGGTCCCGTTCGTCGGTACTGTGGTTTCAGGAGTTGTAAAGTCTGGCGTCATTCACTCTGGCGATACAGTTTTGATCGGTCCCGACAGTCTTGGCCAATTCCAAACGACAAAGGTACGCTCCATTGAGCGAAAACGGATACAAGTCCCTGGTTGCTCCGCTGGCCAGTCTGGTAGTCTTGCGCTACGCAACGTTCGTCGAAAAGACGTACGGAAAGGCATGGTCGTCTTGCATAAAGCTGACAAGCCTGATCCAACGACTGGTATTCTCCCCAATCCCAAGGTGTACCGCGAGTTTGTTGCCGAAGTTTTGATCCTATCACACGCAACTACCATCAAGACCAAGTATCAGGCTATGCTACATGTTGGTCCTGTGTCCCAGACCTGTGCAATAATAGACATCGACCGCCAGTATATCCGTACTGGTGATCGAGCCCAGGTAGCCTTCCGTTTCGTACAGCGGCCTGAGTACTTGACTGTAGGTGATCGAATACTCTTCCGTGAAGGCAGGACGAAAGGACTGGGTATTGTCAAGAGGGTCGGCTACGACCCCAAGCATCCGCTGAACCCCGAATTGCATAAAGATGACAAGGGGAAGGAGAATCAGCCAGACGGCAAGAAGGTTGAAGCCTCATGATGGACTGCCGTGCGAAGGGCTGCACATCTTCCATGTTGTCAAGAACAAGCTTGATGTCAATCCTGTAATGCTAGATACAAGCCATATTAAAGATCAACGTTCAAATTGTTCAAGATCTTTGACTTTCACATTCATATTTGAAATTCACATAATGGAAATCTCCCACTACAAGACCTCTATCAACTAGACGTTATGGTAAGGGTATGCTACTCCAACATGATTACTAAACATGCTCTAGTTCCTAACTTCCATCCTGGCCTGAAACAGCCACAAGTGCGCTCGCTTTCGGAAAAATCAATAAACGAATGAGATCTATATGTTATGCCATCCAGAAATGCGTATCATATACTGCGTTCAACTTGAAACCATGTCCTTCTAATCCTAGTCCTCACTACTTCTGTGCTCTAGTGACCTAAACAAGAGCAGCAGCAATGCCGATGGCTCCAGCGACGGCCATACCAGCACCAGGCAGCATGCCCATCGCACCTCCAGTGTAAGTTGACATGGGTGAGCCTGTAGTCGTAGCGTTGACGGCGGCTGTAGGCGTAGCAACAGCAGCAACGGTCTTTAGGAGCTCTGGTGTAGTCGTGTAGGTCATGAGGTCACCTCCGAAAGCGAGAGAAACGCTAGAGAATGGGAGCTCAGTGACGGAAGTCGCGCCTTCGAAAGCGACACGATCGGCTGCTGGTGCAGAAGGCTCGAGAGATGCGCGGTCGAAAGGAGCAAGGGGGCTTAGAACACTGTTGGGAGATTAGGGTTAGCATGTCGTATCTGTTGTGAGAAGGGCAGGAGACTAACCTGTCGATTACATGCGCAACACCGTTGAAAAGAATAGTGTTTGCATAAATAATCTTCGCACCGTTGACCCACGCACTCCCATCCTCAAGAACCGTAAAGACCAAATCCGCGCCCTGGAGACTTTTGACTGTGACATTACCCAGCGCAGTCGAGAAGATGACATTGCTAGGAATAATGTGGTACTTGAGTACTTCCTGTAGGGTTGCCTGGTCCGCAGACTCGAGCACGGAACCTATGGACTCAAAGGCCTCATTGGTAGGTACGAAAATGGTGAAGTCGGAGATGTTAAGACCAGTGGCTTCAGGGCCAGAGAGGCCAAAGTCGATGGCGAGTTGGGCGGCTTCGAGGGCGGCGTTCATGGCAAAGTAGCCCGAGCGATAAGTGAAGAGTTGGAAAGGTGCGCCAAAGGACAAGACTGTATCGACTTTGTGGATGGTGATGCCTTCACCTAGCATGATGTCCTGATTCTCGTGTCAGTGTTGCTACAAGACATGTAGCAGGTATAAAGATTGGTACTTACTGCTTCAGTAACGGTGGAGATGGTTTGTTCTCCCGAGATTACACAGACATCTTCTCCGTTCTTGACAAGCTCGTTGTATGCTCCCCCAGTAAAGTTGGAGAAAGGTTGGATTTCGTTCACGTACGAACTATCCAAGAGGGTTTGTGCAAATGTTGGGATATCAGTAATGACGCTGGCGGGATATACGCCCTTGAAGACGTGGTTGGCGAGCAGGGCACCAATGGCAATAGTGTCGTTCTTGTTCTCAATGGCCTGGCCCTCGGGCACATCGCGTGGTACGGCTGCGAACGCATCGTTTGTAGGCGCGAAGATGGTGATATTGGAGGCAGCGGAGAGAGTGTCAGCTAGACCATCTACAAGACCGACTAGCTCAAGGAGAGTGCTAAGATCGGGTTGTGAAGCCAGAAGAGCACCAAGATCGCCCTGGGCTACACTCATGCCTGCCAGAGTGGCATAGGAGAGGATTTGGGATGGACGCATGGTAGAGTATCTAAGAAGAAGAAGCAATGAGGATTTTGATGCGGAAGTAGATATGGTCCCGTAGACTGAAGCTTGAAGATGCGCTGCTGTGATGCTCTATTCTCATCCCCAAGGGACCACCTCTTTTATACACCTCTTCATCTCCTCATCCAGACTATACCCAAGCACCATCACAAGTACACCAATACCACCGGCTGCCTGATTCCTGCGTGCTTACTTCCATGACATCTACGACTTCGCAGCCAAGACTCACACGTTCGTATCTGGAAGTGCACGATCAAGGCAGCGTGCGACAAATATAGCATCATTGCCTAACTGCAAGCACTGTGATGGCATGGTCCCAGGCAAATTCGAGGTTGATAGCCCTTGGTGGCCAAGCATACTGGTGATCTGACAGCCCTATTCATCCTTCCTTGTGTACGAAGTGGCGAATCAGCAGGGGTACTTGCGGGAGCGTGGTGGGGAAATCTGGCCGGTACCCACTATCTTGCAGCAACAGCAGTCACAACCGACATAACGTAGGACTTGCAACGATGGTCGCATGCGGGGGCA